GAAGCAGCATATTGATGTATCAAATTAGCCATTAAGGGTTTTCTTATATTTGTGTTAGAAATCTTTATAAATATTTACCTACATATTATAATATTGTACTTCCCCTTTACAGTGTACTCAGATTATTTGTTAGAACATTTTATAATAAATGTATATTTACTTATAGTACAGGCCTCTTCACATTAGTCTGACGGTATCGGAGAAATACTTACTTAAGTCATTCAGTCAATTTTAGCCAACTAATTTAAAATAATGATAACCTAATTATTTTAAATATTTTACTATTAAACCTTTAAATACGCCTTATTCATAAATATTCATACTTTATTTTTAATAATACTGCTTGGCTTAAATTGTACTTATGCATGAACACCAAGCCTCGTTAGGAATTTATTACCAAAATTATGTGTATTATTTAAAGTATTCTCTTATTAAATTTCTTACAATTATAATTTTCTGGTTATAATCATCATTTATATAAATATATAAGTTATTAGGTTATATTATTAGGATATACGTGGGTATTTTTCATCTGCATAATCTGCATTACGCATAATAGATTTTAGTTAGTTGACTAAAGTTGGCTAAAAACGTCTAATCTGAATGGGTCTTACATTAATGTTTGCACAACTATCGATCAATTATAAACGCTTTAAGTGTTGTGACAATTATTTACAATGTGAATTGAACTTAATTTTATAGAAAATTTTGATGTTTGTGACTGTTGTACAACGCTTTGTTAAATGCATTTGATAATTAAAAATAAAGGTTACTGCAGAATGGGATTTTATTTACATATTTTTAAATACATTTATTTGTACATAGAATACCTATAAGCTAGATGATACAGTTTTGATAATGAGTAAGTCTACTCTCATTAAATGTTTTATTTAAAAATAAGTTAAAAAAGTTGTAGATAGATAGATTCGCATGGGTTCGTAAACAATCATGTGTCGAATTGTCATTTTGTAAAAGAGTAAGATTGCTAAATTTGTACGTATTTTGAGGCACCGGGCTCAGTGGTAAGACATCACTTTATTTAGGAACTGTTTTGTCTTCTCTGTCTAATCCTACTACTCAGATAGTTTTCCTTTGCTGTAAATGGGGTATTGGTGAAGTATCGGGTTTCCCTCAATTATTAATACAAAAATAGATAAACTTTTACAGATTTAGAAAGAAATTTAATTAATTGAAATGCACGTTTAATATTGAGAAAAAGCGATAAACACATATTAAGAAAGAAATAATCTAAACAATTAAGGGAAAAATAATAATAAAAGTGAAGTAATTTTATCCTATTTAACACAGAATTAAAGTATTCTCCCGTTTTTTGTAGCTTATTCAGTCGGATAGGACAACAAACAATCAGATATCTGTATTTTTCTTCTGTCACACAATCAAGATATCCCTGTTGAGGCTGAGGTTGCTGGCTGGCTGAAACTTGATTGCTGCTCATCGCTGCAGGAGTGTGCACGATGGTGGCGATGTTCCTGCTGCTGATTTGCTGCTTAAAGGCTGCTTCCAATCACGTAGGGGTCATCACTGTTGAGGAACAGGTGTCATGTCCCTCCAACTCAAGGGCTTTGGTCTACCAAACAAACAAACTTCCAAACATCTAGTTTGGAAGTTACTCCGTAGTTCGGAGTATCTTCGTTAGATGGCGCTGTAGTAAGTTTCTGTTTCTTTTGTATGTGAGTGTCGCCACATCCATAATCTTCATTAACTGTCCCTATTTTATATTCCATGACCCCATAAAAGATTAACATGACTAATTGCCTCTCTGGCGATAATTGATGAGTCGCATCGGAGAGTTGTATCATAAAGCCTCATGCACGTCAGCTGCTGTTTGCCCCGTTTGGGGGATGCACCGGATGAGCAGCGGTAGCCTCCGGAACATGACGATTTTTTTTTAATCATTCATCATCAGTCATTTCCTCCCAACTAAAAAAATGTTTTTATAGTATCTAACCCAACACCTCGAAGGAAAAACAACAATCAGCTGCCTGTAGCGTGGTGGAACATAGTAATACGTCAGCTGTTTGCTCGGACATAAAAAAAGTTCCTTATGGATATCGACGACCGCTATATAACGCTTTCGTGTACCTATTGTCTTAATAAAGGCGCAGGCGCTGTGCTCGAACAGTGATCTTAAATAGCCCATAGACCAGCCCCGGATCTCTTTGGAGGCAAACCGGCAGTTTATTTGATTTAAAATCATAATATAGTGTGATTATAATAAAAACTTGCTCCACAAAGCGCCTAACAGACGAAAGCCTGTTTGGCTCAACGTCAACTTGAAAGAAAAAGGCGCAACACAGGTCTACATTACAAGTGAACTTATATATTTATGAGTTTTTTAAAGTAATTAATCCCAAATGCCACTATCAGGTATCTGCCTCGTTTCGAAAAAATCGTAGATCCGGCTATAGACTATATAATAAATAAAAAAGCCTTGTGGTGTCATAGGACACCCGATAGGAACGAAGTTGTGACGATCGAGTAAAACTGATTCGACACGATTTTAATTACAACGCCATCTATGAAAGCGGCTATTACCTACATATTTTTCAGTTGGTTTCTAATTAAAACAATTTATACATTGGTAAAATCTCATTAAGAAATGATGTCGAATACAATATTTTTTGCTCAACCTAAGAACATAAATTTTAATTTTACTGAGATGAAAAGTAATGATTTCCTATCTATTCGATAGATGGCGCTGAATGACTGACAAGTGACAATTCAAAATAAAAAGTGTCGCTACGTTTTTTCCGTCTAGCCCCATTTCACAACGCGCGAAAAGGAACTTCGTTCCAAAAATCAGCTAGCAATAAGTTGAAGGAAACCTTATCAGCTGACGCATTAAAATAGGTGATAGAGATGCTACCGCCAATCTCCAGCGTAAGGTATAACAGCTGACATATGTTTCTTCATAAGCTATCATTAGGTAATTTTTAGTTAAGGGAAAATTACTAAATGCATTTTTTCATGCACCGCACAGCGCCTGCTTTGACAACACTTTGTGTGATCCACAAATTGTTGTTCTGATTCTGGGTGTCCTTTCTGTCCGTTTCATAAATGTCTGTAAAGTACCTTGTGATACAAGATATATTCCTAGTGCAGAAATTGCCTTTTATACTTAATAATGATTTGTTTTCTTAAGGCCTGAACACTAGCCATTTTCTTTAATAAGTCTCTTACAAAAAACCTAAATGTAGTTTATTAAAAATCAAAATAAATTAATTGATTTAGACTAAGAGGGGTCCTCCTCCTCACCTCCGTAATAAATCTGTCTGTGAAGATACAAAGCGAAGGTCTTGTGTTTTCGTATTCGCTCGTCCAACAGAAGGATAATTCTCGTAATACAATTCAGTTCCGATGAACTCTCGATCTCACAACTGTTATAAAAGTTATTTTCGTAGTCAACTATAATTCATCCAACATTGACTGTAATGTGATTATATCGTATTATAACCGAAAATTGAATCGGTAACCTACTGGTCGTAGTGATTACTTTACTATTTTACAGTAGCAAGATCGAAAGTTGATTGGAATTGTATTTTGACCGAACTTTTATTACGAGGATTGGTATTCTGTTAGTTCGATCCGCTATGTAGTCATGTTTTACAACCAGTGGATATGGTCCGTTGTACCACGTTTGTTGTCAGATTATGGTAGGGGCAGACAGAGGAAGGTACCCAACGGGCAACGTAGCATCTTCATATAATCTGCCATCACCGCATCGATGAACTGACTCGCCCGCTGTCTGCCAAAACCTTTAATAACATGTTTGAATATTTGTTGGCTGGTTGGATTTTCTTGTATGAAATCAAATAAGTTTCTTTCCGATTACCAGAACTCCGTAAAGGAGGGGTAGGAATAAGGTTAGGCTATGTGCCATAGCGCAATATATAATGGGAGTATTTTTAGGCAATGATAATTACTTGCAATTTGGAAAATCTTATGTTTTTGACAACATCGTACTTTAAGTTGTAAAAAAATTTACATTCTGTTCTAACTTGCTTAATTTTCAACACTCAGGGGTCAAATTTTCGCTTGAATTTTTATATAAGGGGACAAACACGAGCAGACGGGTTACCTGATGGTAAGCAACTACCGCCGCCCATGGACACCTGCAACTCAAAATTCACAGGTGCTTTGCTGCCCTTGGAGTCCCTCCCGCTCCAGTTTGTGGGAGGGGGGATTTGGTCTCCGGTAACCTTACTCACTCAGTGAAAGGCTACGAAAGAATTGCTTAACACCAGTTTTCTGTGAGGTCCTGGTATCACTCCGGTCGAGCCGGTCCATTCGTGCAAAAGCATGGCTCTCCTACGGTAATACCAAACCAAATGGAAAGTAACCTCACAAATAAAAAAAGATTTTATAAAATCGCTTCATACATGACGGAGTTCGGAGTTCTAACAATCGAACATCCCAATTCGCCTTTAACATTTTTCGAAGTTGGTCAAAAAAGGTTAATCTGGATAGTCGTCATCCTAAATAATCTATGGATTTTTTAAAGTTCGAAAAACAAACAGCTTTTTATTATAGTTCGGGTAACTTCTGATTTTTGAAGCAAAAACTATAGCACAGCATTGACATTAAAAAAAAATGAAAATTTATTTATATAATCGTGTAATGCAAATAATTTTTCGAAATCCTCTCGTATCGTCTTCAATTTCAATGTTTTTTTCGTCATTCATCTCTACAAACACCTTGCTTCATATTTTAAACAAAAAAACTTAAATGTCGATTGCTGTTTTTCACAAAGTATCGCCTCGTTTAGAACAGCACCATTATTGACCCATTCAAGTTATGAAAACGTTCATAAAAAGCTATGGGACTGCTCTGTTTATAATAAGCTATATCGCAAGAGTTTTAGTTTTATCTGTCATTTTTTTAAATCTTTTAATCTTTACAAAATCAGTAGAAGCACAGTCCCCAGTCTTCATATTCATTTTTTTACTTCTTCAGGATATTCTTCTATACAGTTCGCGTATTTATACTGCACTATTGTTGTCAAAAGACGGCCGAGGTATGTTATGGCTGTGGGTGTTGGAAGGGACACAGGATATAACGAGGGTCTCACTCTCTCCGTAAACCATCTTCATCATCCTGTAGAGGCTGTTGATCAGCGTCAGATAGTAGAATGAGTATACTGTAAATAGAAAAAAAAAAACATTTTGAATCTTGCAAATTTAAAGTAGCAACGACCTGTATAATCTATGTTAAATAAATACTAGTTGTCGAATGTATGTAGGTGCATCACTCCAGGGCCTCAATTCTGCTATTTGCTTATTGCAGAGAATGCTAGCAGAATTGAGGCCCAGGACTGCTGCAACCGTAACTGCGAAGTTAACTCTGTCTGTCTGCCACGCTTTCACGACTAAACCGCTAAACCGATAATAATGAAATTTGTCGTGGAGATACTTTGATTCTTGAGGAAGGACATAGGATACTTTTTACCGAGATAACCGACACATACGCGGGGGAAACTACGGGCAAAAACAAGTAATAAATAATATTTTGAAAAATCGCACCAGCAAAGTGAATAATTTGGGGTTTAAATTCTCCATTTAAAATAGATAGAATAGATAGATAGAAGACAGCGAGGAGATCTTCAAAGAAACTGTCAGATTTGTCAGATTGACGTTAATAATTATTATTTTGTGTATGACATTCGAAAACTAGGTTTTAAGAAAAACAATATATTAAACATTATTAATTATTAGATTGTTTCTGACTAGTTCAAGGCACTAAAAAGAATCCAGATTGCAGGGAGGAAAACTAAGCAGAGAAAAAGTCTTATATTTTATAAATATTTCTAAAAATATGAAATAAATATACTTACAAGCGCCAACAAGCAAGGCGATTACAATTATAACCACATTTTCTGGCCGTTCAAGGAAGGTTCCCAGCCTAAATATACACGTTACGACAGCCACTAGAAACATGCATAGGATGAACACTGAGTTGAATACTATCGATGTCTGCAGGCACGACAGATTTTTCTAGAATAAAATGAAAATAAATTATTTAAATTAACAGTTTAGAGTCAGTTGAGAACACAAAAAATACTGATCAAGTTACAATTATGTTAGTTTTAAAAGTTGAACGAATGATCTATTCATGCATTCAATTATTACATTATTCGTTCATTCAACTGCCTATTATATTGTCGGCTGTCTCTGGATACATAAGTAGAATAAATTCTGCGAAAATGTATGAGGAATAATGGAAATAATCCATACTATACTAATGTTGTAAATGCGAAAGTGTGTCAGTCTGTCTGTCTGTTACCTCTTCACGCTTAAACCGCTGAATCGATTTAGTCCAAGTCCCGGAAAAGGACATAGTTTTTATCCCAGAAATCATCCTTTGAGGGGGTGGAAGTTTGTATGGAGAATCAATAACCGCTGAACCGGTTTGGATTAAATTTTGTATGGAGATACTTTGTTTCTTGAGAAAGGACATAGGCTACTTTTTACCGCGATAACCGACATTTACGCGGGCGGAGCCGCGGGCAAAGGCTAGTAATTATTATGACCTTACACATCTCATACATGGCCGTCTGATCTCAAACTAGGTCAGTACCTAGTATGAGATCAGACGGCTTTTATATATATTTATATTATGGTAACCGACTGCTGTTGGAAGCTGAAGCTAAAGGACATGAAACCCTTTTCCTTGCTTTCATGTGCAGCATGCACCAGAAGGAAAAGGGTGGCCATCACTGGTGCAGAGGAGACTAATTAGTTTCATCTGCACCATTAATGGTGGAAACTAAACCGCACTGATAGTATGGTCTCACCTGCACCATTGAGATAACACTTTACTTTTTTTGATGAAGATGGGTAAAAACAAACGAAGTTCGGGTCGTAATCAACTTGCGCCTATTTTCATTGTGGCCAAAACGTCATACAGATAAGAAAAAACAGTTGCAAGCAATTTTCGACCTAAATGACATTTCCCTATAAACGTGTTTTGGGGGTCTATAAATGACACTGATCACGAATATAAAAAGTAATTAAATACTGTGGAAGTTATAAGGTCTATAATTCTATTTTTTCCAATAGTCATCAAATATAACAATGGGCGCAAGGTGATTCCGATCCCATCTTCATTGGTTTTTAACGATCTTCATTTGTTTTTACCAATCGCATACAGACACTAATAAATATATAAGGTCAATATTAGAATAACGATCACATCAACAGCCTTTAATAGTCCACTGCTGGACATAGGCCTCTCCTTAGAAAAGAGGTTTTGGCCTGATAACGATAACTGATTCAATCTCTACGGTGAGTAATCAGTCAGGTGTAAAAGTAGTATAAAATAACATGGAACAAATGGTACAAAAACCGCATTTTTAAGATTACATCAGTACTGTGGATCAGTACTGGCCTCATGGAACTACTTTGAATAAACCATTTTTTCAAAGTCGGTGTAATAATTAGGTCGCTTGTTTTCCTTTCCTTCCCTCTTTAGAATACTTACACGTTTTATGCTGATGGAAGTGACAATGTTGCTTACGGCGCAGAGTGATGAGAAAATAACCATGCTCATAGAAATGAGATTGTCCTCTGGATCTCGTTCTTTATGTCGGGGCAAGTTCCACAATCCGACTGTCAGGTTTGCGACACATGCCAGCTGCAAAATAGATAACTTCTTATTGATTGATGTCGTCTTACGTAAATAGTTTGATATGACTGTACATTCTAAATTTAAGTTTTCTGGCAAGCAGCTTCATTTAAAAAAACTAGCGATCCTTGCAGTGGTTCCGTATAATGTGTAAAATCTGACACCTTATCTACCGTTACTGTCAAAAATACAGATAATAATTTTCTGTAGTTTGAAAAAAAAAATTTTTTTATTAAAGTTTTATAAAGTCATGTTAAATCTATGTTACGAGCATAATGTAATATATAATGTATATAACATATAATGTAATAATCTGTGGGGGTGATTTCGTGAAAAGGGACGGAAGTATGTAACAGGAAACCGGTGAAGCGTGTGCTATTTTATTTCACCTACGAGAACGCTGTGATAAAGTTAGCCTTAAGATGGTACTTGTGATGTTACAATTACCAGCTTTTGAATGCGGCTCCTTCTGCTGCCTTCGTGTATGTTAGTTTACACGTTAAAAAGTACCCTATGTCCGTCCTCAAAATCAAAATATCTCCATTCCAAATTTTAATAAAATCAGTTCAGCGGTTAAGCTGTAAAAGCGTTACACACAGACAGTTACTTTTGATATTATAGTAGGTTATGTTAAATTATGAAAACCGCCTTCAAAATAACTGCAAAGTAGATGCAAAGTGCAATGAAAAGTGGTTTATGACATCATATTGCACTGCACTGCATCATATAGACTGCACGTATGGCATAGTGGTTTAAGCGGTCACCTCGCCGCTTACTGCTACGCTGAGTGTTGTGGGTCTTTGTGTGACCCACAAATTGTTGTTCTGAGACTGGGTGTTCATAGTGTCCTTTAAATATATGTTTGTAAAGTCCCCCGCGACACAGGATATATTACTAATGCGTGAGTTGTCTTTTTAAAAAAAATAGGCATAAACAAAACATAAATTTATTATTAAAATTGAAAGTGATAAGAATGAGTAGGATGAGATGACGAATTAATATGGTTTTCCTACGTCTTTACTATTAGTTAGGGTGGTACTCACTGTTGAAACAACACTTAGTACCAAGCAGCCCGGCTTGAGAGGCAGACAGTAGCAGCATCTCCTCAACAACGGCAGTGGCATTATGGTCCTGAAATTAAACAGATCTAGAATTAATTTTTGACATCTTTACAGCTATTTTGCTAATGTATCCTGATAATACTTCTTTAGATAGTCTTGCATGCTTATAATAATAGACATTATAATTAATTATCACATATACAATATAATAATAACACTTCTAAAGAGCACTAACTAAAAGCCTAGTTGATTTGCTGTCATACTTTGAAGAGTTCCGTTGTCTCTCTCCGAAACTCATTATCAGATCCATCATAAACAGCCTTTAACAGTCCACTGCTGGATATAGGCCTCTCCTTAGAAAGGAGGTTTTAGCCTACTATACCACGCTGGACAGACGGGTTGGTATAGGGTTGTCAAGTTTTCCTTCTCTTTGCAGTATTGTGGTCCTGCGTAGTCTAAATCTATATAAAACTTAAATGGGAGCATTTCGGAATAAAGGAACACCTTGAAATATACACATATATTAAGAGATATGTAGTAATTATCAGAATCACAGTTACCCAGCTCAGGATTTGCAGTTTATGTGAAATTAGATTTATATTAGAAAACTAAATATTAAATTTATATGTATTTTGAATGTTTGTTTTTGAGTCTGACTTAAAATTGAAGAAATGGGAATTGCATTTATGAATAGGCAGAGTTTCATTATATAGATGCCTGTTAGTAAAAGAAAGCGGTTTTCTTTGAATAAATAAATATTTCTGACAACTGACACACAACGCCATCTACTTTCAAACTGAGCAGAGCTTATACCATGAAAGTTAAATTGACTGATAGAAAACTTATATACTTTTTTAAAGAATAATATAGGAGTAGGTACTAAATTATTTTTTAAAGTACAACTGCTAAGTGAGTGTTTGTTGAATTCGCCCTGTAAATCATATCGTAAATCAGTGGCGAGTGAGAGTTTATTTCACTTTTACTTGATCGTCACGGTAACCGCTTTCGGCGCTGTGATTGGTAAAGAGTTCAGTGCGGGCCAATCCCATCACCGAACACCGTGACTACCAAGTTGATGTGAAATAAACTCGCACTAGGCATCTTTAGAGGACATACATAGCCAAAGTATGCTGAATTAGCTGTAGTAATCGAAGTAGTTTCAACTACGACTGAGTTCTGTGTACGTACATGATTACTTTTTACTATCGAAAGTTTAAACGTAAGTGTTTTCGTAATTTAAAATTTGAAAGAAAAAAATTATAGTTTTAAAAAATTTGAAAAAAGCGTTGGATGCCTGTTGTCAATAGTAAAAAGCACCCCACGCTTTTTTTTCAAATTTATTTTCTATTTTTTAGTTTGGTTTTCTATAGAAAGCGTGTTTTTCAGTTTTTTTTAACTATATTTTTTTTTTTTTTATATTGTCATCGGTCCTCGATATATCTACAAAGTTTGAACGAATTCTGACCGTTTAAAGTCAGTCAAAATCACGCCCAAAGGAGTCGGTTACAAACATACAAGTGAAGCTATTATAAAGCGTGTAAAAATCCTTACCAAGACAATTTGCTAGCATGACCGAGCATCTCCATCTATTTAGTTTTAGGTCGCATGATATCATATAATATTTTCACAAGGGATTCAACGTCATGACGCCAAGGCCGAATAGTCTATGATCAATAATGATGGCGCCAGACTATTACCGACATTCATGTCTATTCTGGTAGTTGCTTACTGCGAAATTGGTGATTAATAGACTATAATAGTAAGGGCTTCGCCTTTTAATATTAAATTATCGTCGTGAAACTCGACATGCGATGAAACAATCCTTTAGATTTGCTTTGTTTTGTTCTTTAAAAAGAGAATATTGCAATGTTCTACATTATATTGTGTTTTATCTATACGTATGTATATATAAATCTCTATCTATAATAGGAAAAACTGAGAGATTGATTCACTGACTGATCGATCAACGCACTACTAAAACGGTTGGGTCTAGAAACCTGAAATTTGGCACAAATGTTCCTTAGGTGACGAAGGTCTGCACTGAGAAAGGATTTTTAAATATTCCACCTCTAGAAGTGCGTGAGTGTTCGCAATTTACGAGGGAGCGTTTTTATGTTCGCGGAATGGGGGATAAGGGGTGGAAATAAAAAACCAAATTATTTTTCCTTTTCAATATATTCACCTGCAAGACGGATACATTTTTCAGATCTTTCAATTAATTTGTTTATACCCTCATAAAAAAAATGTTTTCTCTTTGTCTTCAAAATACGCCGAAACTGCCTCCTTGACTTCATCATCGTTGGTAAATTTTTTACCCCGCAGCTCTTTTTTCATTTTTGGAAACAGGTAATAATCGCTGGGGGGCAGGTCTGGGCTGTAGGGTGCGTGATTCAAAATATCGAAGCCCACCTTATGCAGGGCAGCCAACGCAATGCGGCTCTTGTGGACGGGCGCGTTGTCGTGCAAAAGAAACACACCTTTTGTCAATTTTCCCCGTCTTTTCTCTTTAATGGCTTCTTTGAGTCGCTCTAATATTGAAGCGTAGTATTCTCCGGTTATAGAAACACCTTTATCTTTATAATCGATCAATAATATTCCTTCTGAGTCCCAAAAGACCGTTGCCATGAGTTTCCCAGCTGACTGTGACACCTTAAACTTCTTGGGAGGTGCTGTGCCCTTTTTATGCCACTGCATGGAGTCTTGTTTCGACTCAGGTTCATAATGATGAACCCAAGTTTCGTCTCCAGTAACAATTCTACTCAATACAGCATCCTTGTCTTCATTACAAAAGTCTAAAAATGCACGTGAACACTCTACGCGCTGTTGTTTTTGCGTCGGCGTGAGCATTCTCGGCACCCATCTTGCACTGACCTTTGTCATGCCAAAATGATCGTGAAGAATTCTAAAAATGGTTGTATCAGATACTCCAACCATTCCTGCGAGTTCTTTCTTTAGTCGAGCATCGTCGAGTACAATTTTTTCGACTTTTTGGATAAGTTCTGGCTTGATCACCTCGATGCTCCTGCCCGGCCTCGGGTCGCACCCTCGTATATGAATCTTCGTTATTTTTGGAAGAACGGTTTTCAAACTCATAGTAAATACTCTTTATTCAGTAATCAAAAACCTTGTATTTTTTCAAAACTACCCTTAAAAGGGTGTCCGATGTTTGATGTCGACTACTACGTGGACGAGGTCGCGGGCAAAATCTTGTATATATGTATGTATATTTAAAACAAAGTCATTCGCCGTGTCTGGCTGTCTGCTCATAATACTCGTAAACTTAAACAAATCTGAACAGATATTAATACGGGGTTAGACTTTTATACAAATGTTACATTTAAATCTAATCCTAAGAAGCTGAGGCGAACCTACGCCAGAAAATCATTTAGGAATAGTAACATATATGATCTACTGCCCGTCCGAAGCTGAGGCGTGTCGCTAATAACGTAGATGTTCCATTAGCGTGCGAGTTACTTTCTATTAATATAATTAATTATACCCACTTAAACATATTACATAATTACGTATTCAATTTATTTATTTATTTATTTTTACACTGCCTGCATTACAACTTGCACGAGGCGGGCTTAATGCCACTTCTCTACCAGTCAACCTTAAGATAGTTCAGTAAGGGACATGGCAGGTGCACATATATTATGTAAAAAGAAGAGAAGCTTAAAAATATAACATTAATTTGATAATATTAATTAAAATAGATAGACGAATACATAAATAAATATTAATATATTATACCTATGTACGGCATAAACTAAATACAATAATATCTGTGGTGATTGGTTACATGAGTAGTAAATAGCGACTGACATTGATAGGTAGGAAAATTTATTTTCATGCGAAAAGTATGGTAATTAACTTTGAATTCGGAACCAACCACATGATCACAGAGAAAAATTTGTGGAGTCTTTCTTTTTGGTGGTTAAATTGTTTTTTTTTAATTGTAGCTATCTTTTCTGTACGGCCAATAAATATTATAGTGAATCGTTAACAATTGTCTACTGTTCAGTTTATTTGTTTTTGTTACTATGTTTGCAATTGATTAACTGGAAACATTTTGACTTTGGATTTCACAATTGACGTGCAAATATTTATCTGTTAAGGTGTATATAGGTCATATAAGAGACTTAAATCATCATTAATCAATTTTTACTCAATTAATTTTCAAACTTATACAAATTGAGGATCAATTAAATACCTACAAATTGTTACTTGTTGAGGAATGAAAAAGTATTTTTCTTTTGTTAAAACAGTCAACGACTGACAAGACGCAGTTCTTTTATTGTTTTTTGGTATTCAACCTTTTTGTTTACGACGAGCAGTTTTAACTGAAAGAATTTTAATATTGTTCAATATTTTATAATTACAGTCCTTTAGCAATACTGCTGCAAGCGTGCCTTTATGAATTCTAATGAGCACGCTTATTCATCCGATACAACACATGTTATAAGACACTCACATGAATATAATTGTAGTTATATTCTTGTGTAATTCACAATTAAAGCCATGGGGTTTTATAGCATTAATAGTTTAATTTGTTGCTAATTGACCTGTTAACTGTTGTCATCAGTTGAAGTTTATATTTATATAGATATAATTGAATTTGTTGATAAATCAAATGTATAGGTAGGTACTTAAAATTTACAAATCGGCGATTTTAATTTTTATAAATTTTTATGGGTTTCAAATTTTTATCTACACTCAAATACCAAAATCCATCAAGTTGTTTAGGGCCAGTGCGTGCCAAAGAAATAAACATACATAAATTACATGAACGACAAACGTAACTGGCGCAGTCAGGCAAAAATAAAGTTGTATACACCGCGTTATACGTGGTTATACGAGTACCTTTGTTCGTATTATTGACCCCGTAAAGTTAATAAATAATTTTAAATAAAAAATCCTATTTTCAAATGGCCCGAAATAGTCCGTGTGACGAAGGGCTGACAGGAATGAAACCATGTACCAAAGATATTTAGAGAATATTAAGGCCCGTATTTTAAAAGGTATCTCAGCCCCGAATCTAGGCTTAAAATTGATTTTAAGTAGAGATTT